TATGTGGAATCGAAAGAATACTCCCAGTAATCTGACAAGTTGCAAAGGGGTAAATCCCATTAAACCAGACTCCGCCATAGTGATGTATATGTAATAGAGAGAGAGATGGAGTTGTCTCCATGGGAGGACACCAGCCGCATCCATGGCCTTCAATACGACAAGATGTGATACCACTAAAAAGTGCTAGCCCTTCTTGCCGTACCCACACCGCCAAAGGGTGGTCCTGGTTATTGTTGCCCACCGGGCACTGCACCACCATGCACGAGCGACCACCAAGGGACCATCGATAGCTACTTGATAGATTTTTATCTTTAGAAGGTAGTCATCTTGTCCAATTGCAAGTTGCAACTATTACTGACCTCACGCTAATCGTGCCAAGTTACGTTGACTCTTTATCTGTGTCTGGGAGTTAGTGTGATAAAACATATAAAGATCCAACCCTTTGTCTGTTCTGGGAGTTGGTGTAATAAAGATATGTAGAAATTTGTAACCTTTTATCTATTGCTAGAGGCTAAATGAGATAGCGAATCTGGCACTTTGTCCATTGTTAGGAGCTGTGCAGATGTAGCCCGTTATCCATTGATGGGAGCTACGTAGCAGAGATATGCTCTTTATCCATAGCTGGGAGCCAGTTATAGTGGTAAACATAGCAACAAAGATTATGACCGTCAAAAACGTCCAGCCATGTTGTAAAGATAAATGTAGTTGTGTTTGACCATGTATAAGAAAATGATGCTAAAGTGGAACATGTTTGTATCATTCCCAACGAAGTGGGTAAATGCCGGTCTTGGTGATGTTGACTCCATTGTGGCTATCAGCAGAAAATATAATGGCAAAATACCCAAATCCACCCCCAAAATATAGTGATAAGGACGGATCCACCCCCGAACAAAAAACGGGGATAAATCCACCCACAAAGTTTTCAATTTGAACAAGTCACCTCAAATTTAACGTGTAACATCATTTAACATCAGCAATCCATTAATTCGTTAACAGATTACTGACATCAGATGACGTTGAATTAACAGATTGCTGATGTCAAATGACGTCACACATTAAATTTGGGATGATTTGTTCAAGTTGAAAATTTTGTGGGTGGATTTGTCCCCGTTTTTTGTTCAGAGGTGGATCCGTCCCTGCCACTATACTTTGGGGCTGGATTTGGGTATTTTGCCAAATATAATTTAGCAACATGTCTGATGTAGAGATAAATCATGCGAACCCTCTGGTTGAAGTAGATGTGTCATGAATAATTCAACACAACTAGAGCGAAACTTCAACCAAGAAAGTTGATGTTGTTGCTAAAGCTTTGACAGAGGTAGATTCAACCACAACTAGAGCAAGACTCCAGCCGAGAGATCTGATATTGCTAACAATGGTGCTTTGATATGGATAGAGCTGAGCATGGCTGTTGCAAAGAAGATATGCCATGTGGGTCCTTGCTAATGTGGAACCACACATGTTGCCATTTTTAAAGTAGTACAAATTCATCCCTTAACAAAAGGTTAATGAGAAGAGAAGCACTTCAACAATTTATTAAGAAAAATCATAAAGAAAGGAAGGAAAAAGGTCTGCATAATGGAGCCTCAAAAGGACATAAGAAAACAAAAGATCATCCTTTAGATGTAGTAGGGATCATCAATATTGTAATTCCGCCGATAAAGATATAGACCAGGGAGAAAGCTTCGTTAATGACATTGGAAACACAGAAATTAACAAAGAAGGATGAAGCCATCACTTTCACAGGAAAAGATTTGCAACATAGAGAGGCATTTCCTCATGAACCCCTAATGATTGATGTAATAATGGAAGACAGAAACCTCTGCCAAGATAAGATAATGAAGAGAGTACTAGTAGACACTAGAAGTTGCAAGGATATACTCACGTTTGAGGCCTTCTAGAAGCTAGGATTCCTCATGCAACTTATGAGGCCTTATGATTTTCTGCTAGTAGGATTATTTGGGAAAGTAGTGTCAATAATAGGCATCATTACATTACCTGTGCACTTTGGTGATACCTCCCAGAAAGCTGTGATGACTAGGACTTCTTTGTCATAGATGTTCCATGCTCTTTCAATGTAATCTTGGGGAGACTAGGTTTCAATGCCTTGTAAGCAATAATCTCTACACAACATATGATGATTAAATTTCCCACATCAAATGGTATTGGGATAGCTACTAAAGGAAGATTCGCATAATTTAAGGAAATTGTCACAGTACAAATCTCTGAATAGTTACAAAGATGAAAGTTGCGCACCAATGCTCGAATTTGGGACCTAATTGCAACTAGAGACATTGTGAGGAGGAAAGTGTTAATTGTCAACACCATGGATACCCACGAAGGTTTGGAAGAGCAAAGAGTAGAACCCATTGACCGCACAGAACTTGTGTTTCTCGATCCAAAAGATCAAGAGAAGACAACCAACATTGGGGCTGATATGGGTCCTGCGTTCACAAGCTACCTAGAAGATTGTTTGAAAAAACATAAAGATGTGTTTGCATGGAGCCCAGTAGACAAGTTGAGAATAGATCCTAAAAGTTGCATGTCATAGGCTTGGAATACCCCCAAAAGCTATTCTAGTGAGGCAAAAGATGCGACAATTTGGGGTTGAAAGAACAACAACTAGACAAGAAGTATTAAAGAAGTTAAAAGAAGTAGGATTGATAAAAGAAATCATCTTTTGTGATTGGCTATCTAATGTTGTTATGGTTAAAAAAGCAAATGGTAAATGACGTTTGTGAATAGATTTCACAGACCTTAATAAGGTGTGTTTGAAGGATAATTATCAAACAAGTCAATCCCGTACCGTACCGGCCGGTATGTACCGTTTTGACATTTGACCAAAACGGTACAATGTTAAATTTCGTTTCGGTCAAAATCCAGCCATTTCAGTCAAAATCCATTGTATCGGCCGAAATTTTGTGTATCGGCCGGTACACAAAATTCCAGCCGGTACACTTCATGCCCCCCCCAAAAAAAAAAAAAAAGATTTCCTAGCCAAAACGACGTCGTTTTGGCCAATCCTGCAATTTTGATCGCGCAAATCCTCCTCTGTTCTTGCGTCAGCTGTCTTATCTTCCATTTTTTCAGTTGCCCGCTACCATTCAAATCAATTCAAATTTCAAAAGGGCAAATTTCATTTTTAGTCCTTAATTTTGATATTTTATATAATTTTCATCTTTAAGTTTTTTTATATATTTTTTTAATCCATTCTTCATATTTTTTTAATCATTTTATTAATTACTTCATTAAGTTTTTTTAAATACAAACATTTTTAATCCTTTAATTTAAAATGGATGGACAAAAAATATGTATATATTAAAAGTTAAGGGATTAAAAATTATTATTTTAAACTTATTTTTA